ATGACGTTTCGAGTTTGAAAGATTTAGAGATGTCACATAACTAAACCATAGCGATTTATCTATCGATTTTTTTCGAAGAGGTAGTGAAACCTACTTTTAGAGAAATATTTTATATAGGTGTAATTTAACAAAAAACATGTTTTTTTTTAATTACAAATATTATTGTAACAATTTTTTATTGATAATATTCAAATTTCATGGTTCGTGTTCAAAAAAACGATTCCTAAAAAGTACTGGTTCTGTTTCTTTAAATTAAAAACTATTAATTTATTTTCAATGCGTTTATTAAAGTCAATAATCGAAAAATATAGTTGATTTTTGTGATGTTTTTAATAACTAAGTATTCACTACAATCGATTAATGAACCGCGGAAATAATCGATTTTATTAAACAAGAAATACCCCAGCACTAAATCTATTCCGTTTCACACATTGCGTACATTAAATAAAAAATATTTTTACATCGTATTTAATTGAAATATAATCAATAGACTCAGATTTTACTATATATTTCAAGACAAGTAGTAAATTTTTTTTAATTATATTCCTAATAAAATACAAATATTTTTTCAAAAATATTCTGCATATGTAGTATGCGAAATATGGATAACCTTGAAGTGTCATACGGATCATCTTACGTGAAAAAGACTATAACCGATAACGAAGTCCAAAGTAACGTAGCTTCATGCCTATTATGTATCATTCCCGCTCTCTCAGTATGTATATTGTTGTGTATAATTATAATGATACCTTCATTAATGAAACGTTAAGGGAAATATGAAGTTAATGAAACTAAATGCTCAAAAGAGTTAGTGGTGCGCGAAGACGCGCGCAATCGTTAAATTGTATATAAAATGTAAATATATAAAATGAATAAAAATTGTAAAACTGTTGTGATATTTTATTGAAATTTCTTACCATTAGCTGTGTAGGTAATTTATGCTGATTTTTTACTCAAATTACCGCGCGAAGAGCATTATTTTCATTGATGGCTGTCATAATTGACGGCTCTCTGGTAAAAATCTTCGGGATTGCCATTTGCTCAGCAGAGGTTTTCGTTGGATTTTACCAAATACTATTCCCCATCACCCGTACTTTGGTAAAAATCGTTCGATTATCTGATAACTACTAAGGATTTCTTCACCCGATTACGAGTTTCACATTCTCATGATTGGTGATGTACTTCGCCTTCTCAGTTTCGAATAGTTCGGTAAGCTTGTCCATAAATGTAGCGTGTAAAGAATCTACTTCCTTTGTCGAAGGCTCTAGGTTCCTTTCCACGTGTATTGGGGCTCCCACTGAAACAAACACATAAGTATTTTGTAACACTGAAGTGATGACTTACAATTAACTGGTTTGGTCTATTTGGCTGCTTTAAGGCTCGAAACGTCTTTAACTAGAGGCTGAAACTCTAACTCTATATAACTCTATATTAAACTCTATATTATGGTAACTCTTTATTAAAATCCAGCGGAGGAAATTCTTAGTATAGCTGGCGAGCTTTACTAGAGGTTGCTCTACCTAATGTCACTAAGCCTAGAGAAGTGTTCAGTCTACTTTCAGTTTAAAAACTAATTGTTTAGTTATCGGTATTCCATGATTACCTATCATGCTAAATATTGTTAAAACATACTAATTTATAAATTCTGATAAAGCTTACCAACAACAGTAATTGGTCTCCGGTATGGCAAAATACCAAAGGAATACTGGAATACGCCTCGCCCAATCGGGAAGACGGGAATAAAGCCAGTGACCCGACTGACCCATTTGTGCCATCTCCTCATCAGAGTGCCCTCAGGATAGTTAAAATCCCGGAACAGGTCCGTCTCGCCAAATGACAATACTGGCACGAGAGAAGCCCTGAAATTAACAAGACAGTTTTAAAAAAAACTTATTTCATAATCTACACGCGTGTAGTGATTTTTTGTCTATCAACTTTTAAATTAATGCACGACAAAGCCTTGGTAGATGAAATATAGCACGACATTGATCAAAGGTGAGGTGACTGACTTGTATATTCGAATAATTTTTTGATATTTTTTCTTAATGAACGCTAACCATATTTCCAAGTGAACTTGTTTTATACGTGGTGAGTGAGTTAGGTAGTTGTAGTCTTGTTAAAATCAACATGATGTTGCTTGCTACTTACCCTGTCATCAAGGCGACTCGGACAAATCCTTTTCTGTTCCGCAACTTCACGTTGTACTCTCCAGGATGTGTGTCCAATAGTTCCGCAGTTCCTCCGACAGCGAGTGTCACACATTTCCCCTTCTGTTTCTTCGGATTAAGCAAGTATAGCAGACTTTGCATAGAAGAAGAACAGCCTCCCCAAGCAAGGAACAGTTCTCTCAAAACAGGAATGATCAGGCGCTCTCTCAATGTGATCATGTTAACGGTAAGGCCGGGAAAGGTTTTGTAGAAGTCTAGGGCATTTGTGCCGAATGCCCCGAAGGCGCCGAAGGTGACCACTCCGTGAGGGAAGCAGCCTAGGATGTAGTTCTTGGAAGGGTCTAGCTCAGCCGTCTTGACGAGCTTCACAGGAAAGTAGTCGCAGTAGTATCGCCACACGGGCAAGTTACGGACCCAGTTTGATCTGAAATCATATCAAGCCTTTATGTGTTGTTGATACTTCCAATCACCGAATGAATCACGTCAAATTATAGCTAAACGCAAGTAGTCGCTAAGAATATTAATTCTTCTATCATCAGGACGATAGGACTTAATTGTATCCACAATCCACCACTGTAATGATGGTGGACAACATTATTTTAATCTGGATTGATTCAAGGTTTGAGGAGCATCTAATTGCCACATCCACTGTCACCAGCCAAGCAACTGAGTAGGTAGGTAGGTCAAATAATTTTAAACTAGAAAGAACTTACATCCGTCCACCTCGGTTGCAAACTTCAATGTCGTAGATCATCCACATTAGGTACAAGATGGCTACCCACCAGTATTCCGAGTAGAGCAATTTGTAAAGTAGATATTGGGTAAAGGGCACTCCTATTACGAAGATAAGGCACATGCCGAGTATGGAGAGCGTTTGCAAACGCCTTTTTAACGGCACGTCTAGTGGAGCCCATTGAACTTTTGGGAACATTGTTGTTTCTGGAAAGAAAGTATAAATCAATAGTAAAATGATGCACACAATCATGACCTCATAAGTTACGATAATACTCAATCGTTTATTGCTTAATCACATTGATCTCATTGCAGGTAGACCTACTATAGGTACTATAGGTACTTTACTTACTTACCCGGACACAATTTTTGTTAAAAGAAACAAAGGTTCGAACACAGATAATGATTTTCCTTCAGTCACTATAACTTCGCAAGCACGGTAACTTTTTGTCTTCCATGAGATTTAATTTTATTTTTTGAGAGACCTAGTCATCACTCATCCATCACTTATGAAAACTGACTGAAAGACTTTGAGGTCACATTTTTAGTATTCCGCAGTTAAATTAAAAACGATTATATTGTACTAATAACTTTGAATAATCACTACGTAGTTTGGGCCCTAGTAGGTATATTCTGTGGCCCTAGGAAATTTTCCCGGCTTTTTCAATGGGGAGACGCGTGCGATAAAGTTTTCATGCGAAAGACCGAAATTCACGCGGGCAATAAAATTGTTAAAGGTCGACTGGCGGAAAATGCTTTTAGCATTAAGACCCCCTTTTGTATAACGTTTGTGCAAATATTTTTTTAAATAAATAAATAAGTCCCAAATAACAATGTAAATAACCATCGTTACGGAACACTTGCTTAATTTGCTGCTTGAAACTGTCCATTTTTTGTTAAAATTATGTATATTTTATGCATGATTAGTTATGGATATGTCACCGGAAAATAACAAGACTCGTAAGTTGATCAATTTTCTAGGTAGTTGATCAACTCTCGGAAAATAATAAACGGCATTTGAAATGTACTATTTAACGTATGTATTTTAGTAAGTTGATTAATTTACGGCGTCTTGCCGTTAAATAATCCGACAAAGGCAAGGTGCACGTTGATTGGTTAAAAGACTCACGTGCTTTTATACCGCTCCCCGCCACCCGGCCGCCGCCATTACCAGTTTAAAAACGTAAAAGAATCTATCTATTTTCTTTATTTATAGTAGTAAAATTAGCAATTGTTGTTTTGTGTGGTAATAATTCTCATTATAACGCGTCATTTTATTTATGATAATGAAATGGAGTCTTAAAATAATAAAACTCTGAGCTCCAATATATGTTTTTTAAATTTTTTCATTTATTTAACTGTATAGCATAGACGAACTTTAATATCCCTATCTCTAAAATGTAAATATTAAAACAACATAATCTAAGTGTTTGTAACTCTATGAATAAACACTTGCTAAATGCTTATAATTAATGCTGTCGGCCAATCAGAGAAAAGTGTATTAAGTGACGGATAATAGTGTACCGTCAAATAGTACACTGGGCAACGATTGGCCCATTTGTGGATGATTTTACTTGTAGCAATATAGTTAATTATTAACTTACGGCTAGGTACCGTGAGTTGACCAATTAGCTGAAATTCGATGCGTTAAATAGTACATTTCAACTGCCGTTTGTTATTTTCCGAGAGTTGATCAACTTCCTAGAAAATTGATCAACTTACGAGTCTTGTTATTTTCCGGTGACAGATACATAGTGTTAAGTGGTTTTTTGTTGGGATTTTTTTTATTTGAAGCGGTATTTTAAGAGTTATTTTCTCGTAGGTATAGTTAGTTACTATTTTGGAGAAAGGCTATGAAACATCATCAGCATTTTCAAGTGCTGTTGCTTCGCATTACAATATAAAATTGCGAATAGAAAAAAAACGCAAGTGTTTCTCGTTTCGTTTGTTACCAAGTAGGTACGTTTGTTACGCAGGTGTATGTTTAGGGCTTCACTCATCTTTCATTGTAAAGTGAAATAATGTAAGTAGGTATCTAAACTAAGTAGATGATAAAAATTAAATTAAAAATAACAAAATATTTATTTAGGTAATAATTAACCTATTATTACAATTCAAGCAAAATCATGGTATGGTTTTATGCTAACAATCTGATAGTAAATAATTATGTTGTCCAACTTATTGCATTCTAGTTTCAAACTATGTAATCATAGTGGTACCGGCTTGTTATTAAATTATTTTTAAATGACGAATCATAAAACGCTATAATTTATTACAAATCGCATAAAAAACACTACTTATTAAGTAATTACCTTATAAATCAGTCTATTCTATCATAATAAAAAAATTGTGAACACAAAGACACTTCATAGGTAGGTACTTATCAATTAAGTATAATTAAAATTGCACACATTAGGTCAATCCAAGTTATTCCAACTTATGTATGCGAGTCATTTCTACAAGTATTTAAGTATGTAATCTGTAAGTCTAGATATTAGCACGTCACTACCTTGTTTAATATACCACGCAATTTTGTATACCCATTCTTATAAGATACACTATACAAGAATGCATGGTAAATTCAGTGAACTGCTCCTGAATCGAATGTACCTACTACTGCTATTTCTATTTATTTATATTAACCGGCAGACAGTGGTGACTGAGTTTGTTGCGGCGCTTCTTCTCAGCACTTGCCAAATGTTGGTCTCGAAGCGCTGGTAGGGTAAAAAGATTATGAGACATGTAGAGGCTCCTTAAGAGCAAAATGACGATTTGTAAGAACTATTTATTAGTCTAAACAAATAAAGAAATTTTGACTTTGACTTTGACTTAAGTAATTAATTATCTTTAGAAAATACGGGATTATCATTAATGTGATAAATATGTAAGGGTTACATAACCCTATCTCTTTTTTGCACCATTAGAATAATAAATCTATGTAGTCGTGGTGACTATTTCCTACTCTATCTAAGGAAGTGAAGGAAGCATCCATATTTTGTGCCGAAACATTAGCTAGCACCTTAATTTTAAAGTTGAATTTTCATTTTATAATCAATTAATCCTTGCAAAATATTACTTATTTATTATGCACTCAGTCAGTCAAAATGCCAAAGGAATGGCCACGACAAAAAATGCTCGTGACAAAATAAAAAAAGTCAGAATCGAATAATGAGCGCAAAATCGAACCCTGCAAGTAGGTCTTAATTACACGTTAAGTGGCTGGACATCTTAAACTTGAATACCCTGTACAGTAAAGTGGATTTTGTGATATTATGTGATGACTAGTTTCACGTTCTTGTGGTTAGGGAGGTATTTTGCCTTCTCCTTGTCGAACAGTTCCACCAGCTTCTGCGTGAACTCGGCGTGGACCGCGTCCACTTCTTCCTGGGACGGGTCTAAGTTCTTCTTCACTTCGAGTGGGGTACCAACTGGAAAGGAAAGCAAGGAATTTACTGACGGTTTTATTGGAACGCTTACAAGCTCTACTTACTTACTTCAATTATGTAACTAGGTGCAACCCAAAGTATCATAGTTTTATTGTATTGTACCTAAGTCTAGGCGCAGACCATCGATTTTTCGTCGGCCGATAAGTTTAGTCGGGCAGTTGATCAGTACGGGCATGTATGGAAGTGCGCACATTACACCGATTTGCTATCGGCTGATTCTTCATACAAATTAGAATCGGGCCCAACTACCGGCCGTTGAAAAATCGATGGTCTTGCGCTTTAGTAGTGTTTAGTTTGCAGGTGCTTTGTATTACGAGTATTATGTTTTGAGAAAAAACTTATATTAACAAACACAATAAAGGCTTCTATCAAACCAAAAGTAATGTATTACCAGTATTACCCAATATTCTTTAAATAATGGAAGGAAATCATAAAAAACTTACCGACAGTAGTAATGGGAGATCTAAGAGGAACAACCCCAAAGGAGTACTGGAAGACTCCTCTCCCAATCGGGAACATGGGGGAAATGCCGGTGATCTGCCGGACCTTCTCCTGGAAGCGTCTCAGCAGGCCGTCTTCAGGGTTATTCAGTGGTCGGAACACGTCAGTTTCGCCGAAGGAGAACACTGGTACTAGAGGTGCGCTGGGAAGAAAGAAATAAACATGTTTGTCACTTGAGGGCATACCTAGGATAAATATTGATGCATGAACGAAGGGCATGATCAAAATGGTTTACAAAGTTACAATGTCTCACGTTTTGTTCCCAAACATGTCTTCTAGTGGCATCGCAAATATTTTTTTCACCGAATCACGGTTTAGGGTTTTGAATAAAACTAACTAATTGGCAATTCTTTGGAACACTTATGTCTCTATTTACACTTCACAGATAACTAAGTACTAAGTTAAAAAATAGCTACAGAATTATCTTTCAAATACTTTAGGTATTATACGTATAGGTAAGTCAATCAAAGTTACACACTCACCCCGACAACATAGCGACGCGAATAAAACCTTTCCTCCTGCTCAAAATCACTTTATATTCCCCAGGGTGCGAGTCCAACGCCTCTGCAGCGCCTCCCACTATGAGAGCTACGCATTTGCCCTGATATTTCTTCAGGTCCAACAAATGCAGCAAACTCTCTCTGGAAGACGAGCAGCCTCCCAACGCCAGGATCAGATCTCTGAAGAAAGGCACAAGGAAGTGGCCCCCAAGCGTGATCATGTTACATGTCATTCCTGGGAACACTTTGTAGAAGTCTAGAGCGTTGGTGGCGAAGGCCCCAAAGGCTCCAGAACTGACCACCCCGTGGGGAAAGCAAGCGAAGAGGTAGTTCTTGGAGGGATCCAGTTCTGCTGTCTTGACCAGCTTGATGGGGAAGTAGTCGCGGTAGTAGCGCCACCACGACCAGTTGCGGACCCATTCGAATCTGAAAGCGAAGGGATGGTGTGCAATTTACATTGAACTGTAGAACTAGAAACACTTTGTAAAAGTTAAAGTAAGGTGGTGCGGGTTGCACCATTTGCCTTAGAATAGGTACACACAGCCACACTGTTAACTATCCATTTCCGTTTTTGCTCTCGCTCTCATCAAATGGTGATTCTTTGCGATAGAACGAGACGACATGACAGGCAATGGATAGTTAACACTATTGCCGATTTCATAAAAAAAAACTTGCTTTTTTAAACAATGGTGGTTAGGTATAGTTAGTGCTTTGTTTGATGTTTGAGCACTTACTTTCGACCACCTCGCTGGCAGATCTCAATATCGTTCAGCATCCAAACAGCGTACAGGATACCCAGGAACCAGTAGGAAGAATATAACAACTGTATGGCCAGGTAGATTGCCAGCGCTTCCCCAAACAGCACGAGACAGATCCAGCCGGTCGCAGCCAGGGTTTGCAGACGCCTGTTCATGGGCAGGTTGGTGGGAGCCCATTGTACTCCTAGGACGTCGGATATGGTTCTGGAAATTAGAGCAGAGAAAACTTTATAGCACACACAGTGGCGGATTCACCAGCAGGCTCAGTAGGCTGAAGCCTAGGTTATTTTTTACATTATACAAAGTAGGTACGTATATTTTCGGATACGAATATAATAATATCAATGTTCGCCAGGCCAGTCAAATAAGATCCAACAACACCCAACCCAAGCCTAAGGGCGGCAAATCTGTAAATCCGCCACTGAGCACACATTAAAAGAAAGGCAAGCTTAATGCCCTGTACCTATAGCATTCTGTTTCAGTCAACCAATTAGGTAATTCATCAGTTCTGTTAGGAATCAATTATTGTACCTATTTATCTTGACTTATCGAGTCGATATTGTTTATTAAGGAATTCGAAGTTTCTTTGAAAAGAGAAAATGATTAATTTATTTTAAGTTTCGAAAAAATTACCAAATGAATTAACGTACGCCTGATCGGTAGAAATAAATAATCTTCTAAGGCCGATTAAGCTAGTAATGTTTAGCAGGCGTTACTGTGAGCGGCTAATCTTACTCAGTGTTATCATAAAATAGAAAGGTGTTATATAGGTTGTAGGTGGTTAATCATATTATATCAATTAGGTTTTGTACCTCGTGTCTACTTATTATCATCATCACTATCTATCTAATGATATAGGTACCTAGTGCTATCACATGCATAAGAACATCTAGTTTCTTGTAACCATAGGGTTATTATTACATATGTATATTGCGAGAGTCGTGGATTTTCATACTTAGCTAGTACTTGGATAACCTTTGTTAAAGTTACCTACTAGGTACATAGGTATCTAGATTATTTCTTTACTTATCAGTCAAACAGCACAAGCGCACAAGGAAAGTTATGCAATGCGTTTACCTACTTTACTTACTTAAAAAATTGTTATCGGAAATACTACATGTTTTATCGGAAGGATTATAGATTTGTCGACATATTATCGCCGTTGGATTCGGGTAACGACAATACTATGCAAGTTACCTACCTAGGTATTGTTCGTACCAGGTAAGTACTTATTTCTTTACATCCAGTAAATTTTTAGTGATACCTACAGGTAAGTCCAAAAATCCGGCGTTTACCCGTGGCCCAACATGTCCCCCTGGTGGGTCCACGGGTAATTTTTTTTACCCGTTGTCCCACCGTTCTGAACAGTTTTTGCCAGTGGGTCTACGGGTAATTTATTTTAACCATAGTCCCACCGCACAGTGGTAAACGTTGCATGTCACCTAGGTATAATTATAAAAAAATCTATAATTATTAATTAGAACTGGCCCCATAGCAGACAGACATTTTCCTACATCTAAAGGCCTTTTGAAATATATATTGGTTATGGCTATTGGAGCGGGTACCACTTTCCATACATTTGTGCCCATCATCCTTTACTTTCAATTTTATTCCAAGAAGAAAATTTATTTTATTTTATTTCCAATTATTTTTTAATTAAAATTGATGTAAAAAAGAATAGACTTTCTATTTTATTTTATCGATTTTTTTCCAAGAATATGAGGTGACATGCAACGTTTACCACTGTGCGGTGGGACTATGGTTAAAATAAATTACCCGTAGACCCACTGGCAAAAACTGTTCAGAACGGTGGGACAACGGGTAAAAAAAATTACCCGTGGACCCACCAGGGGGACATGTTGGGGGGACCACGGGTAAACGCCGCAAAAATCGTGTTCTGAAAAATATCAAAACTTCCATAGGTTTCTTTTGCGTTACCTACAGATACTTTTACAGACATTACAGGTTTTAAACTAAATTATAAACATCTTGAAAAAATCGAACTGCGTAAGGCCGGAACGATCGAACCCACGACCTTTCGCTTGCCGGACGACGACTTCTCTTCCATCTGAGCTAAGTACTTGCTACTATTAAGTATTCTATGCTATGGCTGGCATGTTACAGGGTTTTTACATACATAAATCGTACCTAAGTATATCGGTTTTTTGAGCAACTTCGATGTGAACAATAAAACTACACGCTCACGCATCATTAGAATGATCATTATCAACTGTCAATTAATAAGTATCAATTTATCATAGTAGGTAGGTACTTATGTGTATATCTAAGATTATTACTAAACATTTCCGCGAGAGACCAGTCATTGTCAAGGATCAAAGTTTATTGTATGAGCAAGTTATGATTTACGTATCACTGCAGTGACTTTATGTTATAAATAAAATAATATTTGGTTCGACTGACTGATTACTCATACTTATCGATGACTTTGTTATTCTGCACTGCCAAATATTTTGTTTAAAATAATCTTTGGACACTAGTGATATAAACAGTTTATCTAGGAGGCACTGCACTGGGTCATACATGTCACTTCAGTTAACTGTAATTTTCTGAATTAATATAAAATACATTTAATTTTGACCCAGGCATGGGCCGAGTGATCTTACCGAGGGTTATTTACCCGACTGCGCCAGAAGGAGGGTTACTTACTTAATTTGTATTGATCTTTGTAAAAAATATTTTTGCTATCTATTTTCCTGATAGGCAGGATAATTTGATAAGAATCCTACAAGCCTACATGCGATAACTTAGGTCCTACTCTTTAACGTTCGTCCAAGGTCCTACTATCTGTATGTAGCGGTCGCTGTAAAGTGTAAAGCAAGCACATTATCTGATCAAAGCCTTTAAAACCAGTTCATTTGACCTAGCAAAGTCATTCACTAACTCTGTTATGTTTAGTTGATTACTCCTACCAAGACATCGTAAACAAGTTTGTGTTATTTTTGTTTACTTAACCGCGAGACCACGCCGTCCGTGGCCGTCATGCGGTCACCATTTAGTTTACAAACTCGATTTAAAAATATTGAACACTATGTCTTCTAGAAGAAGACATTAAAAACAATTAAAAGATTATTAAACCATCTTGTAATTTTAGGAAAATAATTGCCTGTAAATATGAGGAAGCGTTAACTGATACACTTACTGAAACCATGTCGAAAATAACCGTAGAATTTGGTGCCAGTCCATGGTAACAGATGGTTAAAAAATAGGCCACACACACACCCGCACTACACACTGGCACTATAACGACTAAACTAATCTCTCACGATTCACGGTTTGTGTGAATCATATAGTGGCATAAGTATGTATGGTACGCGACGATTAAATATTATTTATATTTAATTGCTTTTAAATTCACTGTAGGCGTTTTAAACGCATGTTTATTGCATTGTTATTTTAAAATTTTAATGTGGGGGTAGATAACAAAACCAGTTTTGAGATCATGGCTGGGGAGTTTAGAACAGCTAAGTATTGCGTCAACTTGTTATCGTATGTCTTTCAGGAAGGTAGGAAGGATAAATTAATTTGACATTGTTAGTATGTACTTACGTCTACGCCGCGTCAAGTCATCTAATTAAATTAATTGCATGGATTTACGAGTACCTACTCATTTCATGATTGAGGCACATTGAGGTGACTTTACGTATGTACACACGCTTTCATGTTTTTCATTTAGTATATAAGTAGGTACGCACAGAAGACGGCACATCGTCGTTCGTAGTTTCAGTCAAAAGAAAAGAAATACACAGCTGGGCAAAGGCCTCCTCCACCAAGGATTTCTACAAGGACCTGTCTCGCCCTGTTAGCATGACAGGTGCCAGGTGCCTTTCGCAACCCGCACAAAAAATACATACGGTCGTCGCACATAAAACTGACAATAAAACATTATAAGAAGTGAGAGTAACGCTCAGAAAGAATAACGATTTTTAAGTTGACCCGATCGGGAATCGAACTTTTTCTCCATTTGGCCGTTAAAATCAAATTACAAAACCAGGTGCAAAGTGCACTTTCTCAAGGTTTAGGCACTAAACTTTAATATGTAAGCTTCTTGCATACACAGTGCCGTATTATCCATAAGGCACTTTAGGCCAGTGCCTAGGGGCCCACTATGAACAGGGGCCCAGCAATCACGATTAAAAAATGAAAAAAAAATATGTTAAAGTTTATTTTTATGTAACAAAACTCAAAGTACCTTAAAACTTCGTCTTATTTTGGTTTACACATTCAATCGTCATAATTATTTAGATATTGTGGAACCTAATTCATTTTCGTAACGTTGGCATTACTGCTTTGGTTTACATGACAGGTCGACCGTCGACACCCTTCAGAGGCTAAAAAAAAGCCTCACTGCGGAGGTTAGGGAGAGGGGTGACTGAGGGTGTGTTGGCTGTATCATTCGATATAGCCTCAGATCATAGAAAGAGAATAGATATGAAGTCGCGCGTAACTACAACGAGAACCAGTGTCCCCACATTTCCCCCACCACAGCTCCCACACACACATTCAACTGTGTAAAAACAAAGCGACTGAGAGTCTACGACAACATGTGCAACCGGCTTAAAAGTGCTGTGATTGGCCAGAAGGCGTGCCTTATGGCCAATCAATGGCCGCGTGACGTGACGCACACTTTGAAAAAAGCAATTAGAGAGAAGAAAGATAAAATCGAGTCGATAAGATATCGATACTTTAAATCCTGGGGGCAAGGCTCGAAATTGGTTTAAAAAATGCTTGTATGAAAACCTTTTTATTATTATACGTTATTATTATGTTCTTCCCCCCTCCCTAGTGTGACGTCACATGTTTTGCAATTTCACATCGAAAAATTATTAAATTAACAGCAGTTCCGAAATTAGTTTTATTTCTATTTAAATTAAGTATGTTTTTATATGAAATCAACATTATATCAAATATTTGAAACAATTGAAATGTGATGTCACGAAACTTAGGACCCCTCCCACCCCTTGTCACACCATGTCACACTTTGTCAACCCCCTCCCCCCCTTTACGTGTGACGTACTTTATGGATGACCCCTAATTCTAAATCACAACTTTTTCAAAATCCTTCTGTTTTCGAATCCTTTGTATGAGGAATTGGCCGATACTAAATAGGTGTAATCTGCGCACTTTTATACATCTCCATACTGATCAACAGCCTGACCAAATTATCAGCCGACTAAAAGTCTGTAGCCTTAGCCTAGGCGCAGACCACCGTTTTTTAATTGGCTGTTGATCAGTATGGATATGTATGAAAGTGCGCACATTACACCGATTTGGTATCGGCCAATTCTTCATACAAATTAGAATCGGGGCCAACTATCGGTCAACTAAAAATCGGTGGTCTGCGCCTTGTCTTAGGCTGAGTTACACCAACTTTCTTTAACCGTAACCGTAACCTATTTTTGTATGGAGTTTGACAGATTTTTGACTTTTAAACTTAAAGTAAGATGGTGCAACTCATCCTTAACCTGCAGCCATCAGTTGTCTAGCAGCATCAGCTTGCGATCCGATCGTCGTGTCGTGTCGCGGTCGCCGCGTGAGCGGGTGTCCGAGTTACATAAAGTGGCCGCCAGTCGACGCCGGGCGCCGACCGGACAGTGTCGTCTTTGCGTAAGTTTGTTTTTAATCGCAACTTTATTGTTTTTTGTGTTAAGTGGTTATTTGATTGCAACGAAAAAATTCAGGTAAGTGTTTAATGTATTTTTGTTAGTTTTAAACATTGCATGTTCAGTTGTTAGTTTTATTAAACATTGCAATAGGCATGTTCAGTTAAGGTGTACATGTTTTATTATAATTATAAAACTGTATGAAAAGTATAAAGGAAATTGGTAGCTCGAAGAAAAAAATATGAAATACCTACGTTNGCACTATGTTACGACCGGCACATGCGGCCGTACTGTGTATTTTCACGCGTCAGTGGATATCGGAAGAAATAAAATACATTGCGCAGTAGTTACGCATGACATAAAGTGGTTGCTAACTAAATCGTCAATGTACAACGTGTTTGAATTTTTATCACCACTAATTTCGATATCGCAGTAAATGTCACGGCACTGAATTCGTTCGTAAAAATGTTTAGTTTTTTTTATTTATAAGCAAAATACCAATGGATTTGCAATACTTACATGTGGTAAATGACTTCATTGTTCCTGTAGTTCTTCGTTTCACTTATGTTATTGCACGTTACGACGCATTATCCAACAATATCGGAGAACATTTCCTCAGTACGACTGAATCGCGACTAACCTGGCGTCGCGGGCGATGTTCGTTTCTGGGCATATCGCGGAGACACGCGCCACGCCCCCGTTTCACATCTATTCCCTTCTATGATCTGAGGATATAGCCAACGCTTTCAATACCATCCCTCATTCCACCATACTCTAGGCACTTCAACATCACAGAGTGCCTCAGTGTCGTAACTTCGAGCTCTGCTGGCCGATTACTTACGGAATCGCGAAGTCCTGTATGGTAACTGAGACAGCCAGCTCTAACGGCGTGGGGCGTAGCCAGCGGGGTTCCGTAGGGTTCGGTGCTCAGTCCACTCTTGTGGAACCTAGGCTTCAAAGGGCGTCCTTCTCGAGGGCATGAATTTCATATGCTATGCGGATGACACTCTGGCCACTGCCCGGGGAAGACATTTGGGGCCACGGCACGGCTGGCGTCGGCGGGCGGCACATTAGTCGCTCGCAGAATACGACGCCTCGGCCTGAAAGTCGCACTGGAGAAGACCGAGGCCCTCTTCTTTCTGGGCCCTCCCGACGCCCACATTGTGGTTGAAGACGTTAGAATTGACGTCAAATATGAAATATCTGGGCCTCACGCTTGACGGGAGGTGGCATTTTAGCACTTCAACGGGCTAGCGCCACGCCTCCTCAAGGCAGCCGGCGCACTGAGTTGGCTCCTCCCGAATTTGGGAAGGCCACAAACGAGGTGTCGTCGACTTTATGCCGGCGTTCTGAATGGCGCTGTATGACGCCTTAATCTGGGCGGACGCACTCAACAAGAGGGAGAGTGCCACCCTTTTGCGCAGGCTCCAGCGGGCCATAGGCCCATAGCGCAGAAAGTCGCAAGGACCTACCGAACGGTAGGGCACGTTGCGGCGTGCGTCCTCACTGGTACTCCACATTGGGAGCTAGAAGCTGGAGTCTTGTCTGTCATCTATCACTGGATGGCAGACCAGAAGGCGCGTAGAAAGCGCCCGGCCCCGGAACGGCGCGGCGCCGTCAGGCAGGAAGAGCGTGAGATCATGATCGACCGCTGGAAGGAAGACATGACTCGCGCGCAGTTTGGCCGCCGCAATCTGGACGCCATTGTTCCTGTTCTGGACCAATGGTTGGAACGACCGCACGGGTTCCTCACGTTCCGTCTGGCGAAGGTGCTGACCGGGCATGGCTGCTTCGGTTCGTACCTGCATCGGGCGAGAGGAATGAAAAAGACACTGTGCAGCACACCCTCGCGGTCTGCACAAGCTGGGAGGAGCAGCGCCGTGTCCTCACTGCGGTCGTGGGCCGTCTTTCGCTTCCGAGCCTGGTCAACGCCATGCTGGGAAGTGAAGGATGCCGGATGGCGGTTGCCTCCTTTTGCGAAGAGGTCATCCTTCAGAAAGAGGCAGGGGAGTGCGAGCGGAAGTACGATCTCTCGCCTCATCGCTGGCGGAGAAGGGGGTGGAGAAGGCGGTTGTACGACTCCCTCCAGGTGGCGGCCAGCAGGCCGGGGGTGCGGGGGCACCCTTGTCACCTCCGTCTGACGGGAACGGCTTGGCGTTTCGGGCTATTCCCGTCGGACCCCCACAAGGTGGGCGTGTAGGGTTCGCCGTGTAGGCGAGCTGTCGCCGGTGGTGTCGCAGAAGTCTAAGGCTACGGCCGGACACTCGCGACACCCCCACTTGGGCGATGACGGAACACCGCGGAGGTTTTAGTGGGTATACCCCGTCCTTTTGAGTCCCAAACACCACCCTGTCCCCCGGCAGTGGTGACGGTGCGCAAAGCATTTCTTCCGCGACAAAAAAAAGGGGGGCCCGAAACGAGCTGTGCCTAGGGGCCCCGAGATGGTTAATCCGGCCCTGTGCATACATAATATGGTTGGTGGGATTGTCTTTGTGAATCACTGTTTATCTTTTGTTCNTATTCTCTAAAAGTGTGATAAGGACGGCATCATCCCAGGTACTGCTGCATGTAAAACGTAATCATCTTCGGTCAAGACACTCGTATAATTAGATATCAAACATCACAGGTAAGTTCGTTTGATTCTTAATTATTGTATCAGAACAAAGGGCGCAATTAAAAAGGCACCGTTGGCTGTAAAACCTAAACTAGCAGAATTAACGTTTTTAGGATCACAATGAATTTCGTCGACTTGACTCAAGCGGCTC